TTTCTTTTATAGAATTCCGAAGTTTACTTCAAAAGCGCTCACTCCTTGTTCAGAGAATCTGTGCAGATAATCAGACAGAATGGGAATCACGTTCAATGTACTTCAAAAAGGTCATCACTCCTGGAACGGCCACTTTGACTAAGGATCTTCCTCCTGTAAGTAGCTGAGCATATATGCTCAATTTAACTAGAGCTTAATCAATAACTTGTTAGTTACGTGGAGCGACAGGGAAGTGATAAAGCACAGCAGTCAGTAATGTTCATTTCTAACGTTAGGCTGCTGCAAATAGACCGCTTTTTCTGAAATTGACACTAGTGTTATGTTTTTAAAACGCTGTTTTATTTAAAGAGAAATTGGCGGCAATGTCGATATGTTTTTGCCTATCTGCTCCAGTGTCGGAACCTTATGGCCAAGAAAAGCAACATACTCGGTGCACAACAATCACAATCTCACTCACCTTTAGCTGAACATTTGATGGTATCATAGACGTAACGGTATCTCCAGGCAATAGCTCTGTCAGGATGGATAAGATAATGGCTCTTCTAGTAACTGCCATATCGGCATCCAACTAAGAAATCTACTTTGATTTGGTTTCCCTCTATTCCCCAAAGTATGCACACCGTCTTGTCTCCACCGCCGACTTCACTAATACGCAGGAGGTAGTCTCCTTCATTCTTTAGCAGAAACAGTAAATCCTCTCTTGGAAGAAAGCCATGGTAAAAAGGGAACTCCCGCAAGGCCTAAGCAGTCAGTCAGAACATGCGCACAAGCGACTGTTTAGTACCTTCTCTTCTTCTTTCTCTTGTGGCGTCTTCTCCTCCACTGGTGGTTGCGCCTTCTTGGCATCCTGCTGAGCAACGTCCATTTCAACCGATGTGATCATGATGTGACTAGAAGTATTCAAGTACTTACCATTCCTTTCGCATTCTTTTATAGCTTCCATTATCGGTATCAGGAAGTCAACAAGTTCCTCTTGAACTATGCCCCATTTGGCTGTTCGGTCACAAATCCGAGGTAAACTCGCTAAATTTGCTGCATATTGTAGTTAGCGCTAACCTGTCTTTTATACTCTTGAGGTACCGGACTTTGCAGTTCAGCTTGTTGCTTCATCAGATTCCACATGCATGAAAATGTAAACTGAAGCGGAACAAGTCTGGT